TTCGTCAAAATTCTGTCTCTTTGTTAATTCTTTATCCGATTCTTCAACACTTGGTAAATTATTGTAGCTTTCTGCACTGAACGTATTATTCTCAAGAGTTGGGGAGGGGATAGCCATTTTTAGAGCACCATAACCACAATTTTTCACTTTTTTTAAATTTTAAAAAAGTTCCAAGTTTTTATATTCATATTAGTTCTATGCGTTTCACGAATCTTGAGGATTATTTCTGATTAATAACATCAAAGTTTGACGCTTCTTTATAGCATTTTGTTTTCATGTTCGTTTAGATTCCTTTGATGTTTCTTCATCATCCGAAATATCATTTTCTGAACTTTTGTTGTCATAAAAAATTGATGGTGATGAAGGTGGTGATTCCTCATAATCCGAACCCGACGAGATATTATTATCAGAACTTTCATTGTCATAAAAACTGGATGGTGATGAAGGTGATGTTTCTCCTGGACTTGGACATTTAGTATTTGTTCTAGACAGATGTTGTATGTAGGAATAGCCCTGGAAGATTGACGATCCCTTGATTCTATTTCTACTGTAGGATAGATATAAAGAGCACGTGGTTCGTTTTAGGTCTTCGTAGGAACCAATGTTGATTATACGTTGTGAGGATACCATATTGCAATTGATTGGCCAAAAATTTGGCGTAAAATTCTCTTGATCACCTCTATTAGCTGCCTTGAAGTTGTAATGACGAAAAAATTCACCGTCCACTATAATCTGACCTTTTAATGTTATTACCTTATTTCATTTTAACTTCGACAAAATATCTCATACTGTTTGATAGTGCATTTATAAATAAATTTTCAATTTAAAATTTCATGTTAAACGAATTTAAAAAAAAAAAAAAATTCAAGCATTGAGTATTATTAAATTTATGAATTACCAATATAGAAACCGTTAGTGCCACCTCTTGCTTCTAAAAAGTTGCTAATTTTCACCAACCCTTCTGAAAAATCATTGATACAATTTGGCCTTTATCAAAAGCTGCAAGATATCTATATCTTTATAATAAAGTTAGTTGAAAGAATTATAAGATAATACAAAATCTTTTAACCAGTTATTACATACAATTATATTATACTTTGTTAATCTGGTTCGACTTGAATAAGATGCTTTGATTGCAAATTCAAAAAACATTTGTGGTTCACTAAAAAGAAAAAAATAACAAATATTAATATTAATTATCATTGACAACTAAAAGCTTTTCTTCCTTTTTATTTACATTTAATGAGAAATTTATCATCCAAACTAGTATCTAAATTTGAAGTATCCAACCTGGTGCTTCAACGCTTTTATCCAATAATTGGCGATTTTAAAATTGATAAAGAAACTCCGTGCATATTAAGAGAGGTCAACAAATTGATCTTTTTCGGGTTTGATATTCTATCCGCATCCTGAATAATAATAATGTCTACCATCTTTTGTACAAGTTTACTAGATGAAGGAAGTGATATCTTTTGAAATCTAGGTTCACCATGGAATACCCATTCACAACTCGATCACATCATCAGGTAAAGAAGGACCTTGAGTTGTTCCCGGAACTGTAGAGCGATCAAACAACATCATTGGTTCCAAAATTTTCAGCAACTTCAAGGCTTGCCCTGAAATTTAAAAATTTAATGAGTAAAAATTTCATTTATTTTAACAAAAAGGAAAGCATTCGTAATTATACCATACCTTTTAGTAGCCATAGCTTGCAACTTTGTGCACCAAGATCGTATCGGCCAAGCCTCTTCTATAAAAACCAATCCACATAGTAGCCTTTCAACTCCAACAACATTTAGTTAACTTTAGTTCCCTCGAATTTTTCTCTTTCAGCTAAGCTAAAATTAAACATCGAACAATTAATTAGATTAATGATCGGCGGCAAATCTCCTTTAAAAAGACGCGTGATGCAGACGCGTATTTTTCTGCAAATTTAACTATACCTTTGAATTTTTTCTAATTAAATATATTAAATATCCAAATTATTTTAACTTATCTAACTCAATATCTAAAGACTATCCTGAGCACCTCAACTCTAGCCGTTCTGGTAAGTGTTGAAAAAGTATTTAACTTGCAATCTTCTTTCTTATTTAGCTCTAATTAACCTTTGATTTCTAGTCTTTACTTCTTATCTAAGGAAACGAAGCAATAAATTATCTTATCGTGATTTTTTCATTTATTTGTCGTGACGAGGTCATTACCTTATCACCGTTTTCAAAAGACTGGTTTTATCTTGATGATTTTTGGTCTTTAAAGTTTTTGAAAGAAGCAGAGAATCTCGAATCAAATAAAAATAATTTTGATGATTT